TCAGTTCTGAGGAAGGGTCACCGGACCCGAAACATTAACTGTTTTCTCCTTCACAGATGCTGCCAGACCTGTTGAGCTTTTCCAGCAACTTTGTTTTTGTTCCTGATTTACAGCATCCGCAGTTCTTTTGGTTTTTATTTGGTATGAGATGTAGTTAGATTACTTTTGTTTCACTCAGGATTTTTTTCATGTCTTTCTTAAGAAAGCACACTGAATATCCTGTTGCTTTTTTATATGTAGCATTTGAGGCAGGAAGGTGGTCTGAGGAATTGAGATTCAACTCCTTTCTACTGGCCCTGAATACAAATCCATTGAGGTTGGAAGGGAAAACAGGTCAACCGCCTGACTCAGTCTCAAATTTGCATCTCTGTTCAGAGTTGGAGGGGTGAGTTTGCAGCCTGGTTGAGAATTATTGTAAATATGCATGTAGAGCGGAAGTACATCTGTGATGGGATAAGATAGTGGCTAGGAGGAAAGGGAGCAACTATGCTCAAAGTGGTTTATTTGTTGTATCTGATAACCTCTGCTAATTAGGATACGCATGCCATTTAGTGATGGGCTTAGTGTGGATCAGAAGCTGAAACAGAAAAGGAGCTTTTGTAGTGTTTGTATTTTATAATACAAACATGTGATAGCACTGTTTATAGGAGTAGGTGCGACTGTACAGAAATATTAAAAGTTTTGATAATATTTTATAAACATAAAATAGCTTACAATGCATATTGGCACAGATTGTTATAAGCCACTTGATTTTTATAGTGGAACTTTATGAAAGAGATTATCAACTTTGCTACTCAATATTTTAATAATTATCTTTATTGAAGTGATGTTAGCCTTGTTATTTAAAAAATAAATTACCTCGGGTTGGTGGCCTGTAGTTTAAACAGTTAATGCTTGGCCGTCTGATTCTATAATAGTCACAGAATAATGGGTTGTCAACCTTTACGCAGCACCAGTTGTATGGATCTAGGTCAAATTCTGTGAGGGAAGATTGATAATGTGCATGAATTGTATGATTGTACACACTTATGAAGATATCAGACCATGTGGAAAAACATTTTGTAACAATTTCAAATAAAAACATACTTTTGTTCTGACTTGAGGAGTCTGAAGGTGTAGACGTCCAGTAACGTTCTTGCCAACCTTCAAGAAATGCATTCCTCCTACTGTAAACACATCTTTGACCAGCACCATTTGCATTTGGGCTGGCACTACGAAGAACTTTGGTTGTAGCACCTGGTAAATTCAACAGAAGACCACTTAATGACAGAATTCATTGCAATTGCTTTGACAAATTAGCATGACTAAATGGTATCGGAGCCAGATACAAATTTCTTATCAATAGCATGCTCTTGATTCTTCCAAATTATGGTGTGATGAGAAGATATGAGTTAAATCTTCATGTATGTAGGTTCTTCAGACAATAACTGAATTGATGATACATTTGTGAACAGCATACTTCAAAATATGGAATTTTTTCCTGTTATTGCCTTAGTTTTATAACAGCTGTTGCTTAAGTTTTCTTAGTGTTTTGAGAATGTATTTTCAAAACAAAGAAATCATAGCTATTGCAAGCAGAGAACATGCAAAGTATTAGCACTATTTGGCTTTAGATGTTGGTGTGTTCACTGAGCTGGGAGGTTCGATTGCAGACGTTTCGTCCCCTTATTAGGTGACATCCTCAGTGCTGTGGAGCCTCCTGTGAAGCGCTGGTGCCTTGTGCCGGTTTGAATTTATACGGTCGGGTTTTTGCCGTTTCCAGTAGGTGCTGGTTCCGGCTGTGTGTTGTAATGGTTGGTATATCGGGGTCTAAAATATCAATGTGTTTGTTGATGGAGTCCGCGGATGAATGCCACACTTTCAACTGGGACAACACTACTATCATAGGACAATCCAAACAGAGGACAGCCAGTGAATTCTTGGAGGCTTGGCATTCATCTACAGATTCCATCAACAAACACATTGATATTTTAGACCCGATATTCCGACCATTACAACGCACAGGCGGAACCGGCACCTACTGGAAGCAGCAAAAACCCGACCGTATAAATTCGAACCGGCAAAAGGCACCAGCGCTTCACAGGAGGCTCCACAGCACTGAGGTTGTCACCTAATAAGGGGATGAAACGTCTGCTATCGAACCTCCCAGCTTGGCAAACACACCAACATCTACAACCAGCACCTGAGCTACAAATCTTCACTCAAACCCTGAACTATTTGACTTTTATTGTTCATTTTCTTTCTGAAAAAAACTACTAACATGGCCATGGCTTATTCTAAAAAATTCCAAAACAACTTAAGAAATCCTGATTCTACTGAAAGACTTCTGACCTGAAAATTAATTCTGTTTGTCTCCATAGATGCTGCCTGCCCCACTAAGATTTTCCAGCATCTGTTTCTTATATAATAAATCCTTACCTAGATTGGAGTTTCGGAATCGATTGTCTGCTTGTCCTTGAGGCAAGCTGCATGGACAGGAAAGTAAACCTTGGTTCCACTGAGATGGATTTAGCTCTGTATTAAACCAGCTCAGACAGTTTGCTTTGTAATTAACCTGTGGTGTGCCCTGAATCAGACTGTACAGTCGTAGGCCTTTCAAATCTAAGGAAATACAAAATAGTTTGCAATTCAGATTTCAGCATTAATTTCCAAATTGTAATGATTGTATATTTCACTATATGTGGTCCAAGCATGAAGTTTAATTGTCATATTTAATCACAGATTTTGATGTTAACGTTTGACAATCAAAGCCCATGGAACTTTTGGCATACTCCTGCAATAGTGCTGCAATTGAAAATCGTTAAACTTGACTGAACCCACGAGTTGCCAGGGCCAAGGTTCAAAGAGAAATTTATATTTTTTATAAAGTATATTTTATATTTGGCGCAGACACCTGACCAGTGCTAAACAAGGCTATTGAAGTGAAGGATTAGAGCTGTGATGGAACTGATTACACTTTAAATTCCTACATCACTTGCATATTTAGGTATTCTCGATGCATGATAGTAATATTAAAAGTACTTTATAACAGTATAAGATCTGATTTTGAAATCTGAATTATTTACTAGTCTATTATACTTTAGATGTTTTTTCACAAAATGAAAGAATTTCAATGATTTAGATTACAAAGAAAGTAGTTGATTCACATAAAACATAGATTTTTAAAATTTAGACAGTGAGAAAAAATATCCCAACTATGATTCCTTCTTAAAGTAGAATAAAGGGAAATAAACCTGTATTTTTTCCACTATATTTATCAGGTCGAAATCTTTCGGCAACTGTAGGAAGTTTTGTTTGCTCATCGTTCACAAAGAATCCATTGCCGCTACAACAAAAAAAATTGAAAACTGTAATGTAATTTGGTCGCTTATTTTCTCTTTGGTATTAGTATATGCCTATCATTAAATTATATTGGCAATTTTGCACATGGCTTCTAGGCAACATGTGTCTCCCTTGGGCTTCCGCCTTGTCATGGCTTACAGTTTGATCTGAAGTATTTGCCATTGTTGCTGAGAGTTTAGGAGACAAAAGAGATCCACGTGAAGTAACAACTGACCATGAATTAATCAGGCACTTGACTTACTTCTCTAGAAAGATGAGGAACTTATACAGATTGAAGCAACAGCAAAGCAGAAATCTTTTTGCATTGGTAGGACGGTTAAAGTGCTGGTTGCAATTAATGATATCCTTGTATAATTTTGTGTAGCTATCCATATCTCCTTAATTTTCTTAAAGTTTGTAAATAGTCAGATTGCATGTGATCAAGTTTGAATCCTTCATATTAATGCCAGATTTGCCATGAAGTATTCATTCCAAATAATTCTGTACTTTCCAAACTCTTCAAGGTTTGTGGGTTACAAGGCTTTTGCCATAGATAATCACTAGCTGAGTGATACCACTGCAAGGTTGCAATACTGGATTCTGCAGCACTGATAATGTCAGGATTTTGGAAACCCTAAAGGAATAACTGGCATGGTGTGCACTATTAACAATTTACAGTACATCCTGGGTGGGGTATCAGTACAGATATGACTTGTATATGTTCAACGGGTGAGGTGATGTTAGATAGTGATTTAAAGCAGTTGTCCAAGCATTTTGCTGAACAGGCACCACACAGACCAACAACCTGTGTAACTGGTGAGCTGCAGAAGGTCCCCACCAGCATTGTTTAAGAGGTCAGTCATCCAAATCACAAGCGAGGTGCTTTTGACTGACACATGGTAAGTAAAATTTGTCAAAACAGTGTGGCTTGTGTTTCACCACTATAGCAAAACACTGTACCCATCTCAGCATCCCCAGGGATGCTCCACTACAGTATTTTTTTGCCTGCTCATATCACTAAAGCCACAACAATAACCTTTCCATAATAACTTTATCCAACAACACACCTACTTGTACAAAAAAAATCAATCTCTTACATTCCCTTGGTGCCTGTCTTGAGGGTATTGTTCCTCTCCTAGTGTTTGTACACAATCCTGGTCCAATGGCTGCCACATGGTCAGTGGACAAATGTTGAATTTAACTGGGGGAGATTGTATATGGCAGTGCAGGATCTAAGCCTCGAAGGTCTAACTTCAGATTATGATGCCTCAACAACAGTGACAGCAATCTGGGCTGCTGGATGACAGGTAACAGCAAGGGCATTGATCAAGTGTAACAGTAGGATTCCAATTGCTGCCAACCTGAGAAAGAGCACTAGATTTTTACACCATGGTGTGACTGTTCCACAGTGCAGCACCTCCACAATTCTAGAAATATATTAGGGCCAAATTCCTGACTGCCATGTGAGCCTGCAAGCCTTTTTTAAAAATTAATTCACAGGTTGTGGGTGCTGCTGGCTAGGCCAGCACTCATTGCTCATTTCTAATTGTCTGGAGCACATTTGTGAGTCAACCACATGACTGTGGGTCTGGAGGCACATGTAGGCCAGACCAGGTAAGGATGGAAGTTTCCTTCCCTAAAAGGCATTAGATGGGTTTTTCCTGACAATCAACAACGGATTCATGGTCATCATTATTGAATTCAAATTCCATCATCTGCCTTTGCAGGATTCAAACTCAGGTCCCTGGGATATTACCTGGGTCTCTGGATTAACAGTTCATTCTTGGTACCACTCGGCCATCACCTCCCCTTTGAGAGCTGAGATCCACAGTCATGAGGGCAGCAGCCTGAACCTGCATGGCATCGTACATGGATCTTATGACCTCTCACTGATCTTTCATTGCAGCAGTATGATTTTGAGAGGCTTTCAGATGTGCTGCAGTAGAAGTTGTAAAAATATGCAGCAGATACTGTGCACGACTACGTCAGTGAATTCTGCCATGCAGTAGGCCATCACTTCCACGGTTGAAAAGGATGAGTTCCAAGGTCTCTAAGTTGAAGGTAGATTTCTCCGTGCTTCTTGTCAACAACAGGAGGTTGGCTGCTCTGCCAAAGGCACCCAGCATTTCAATGTAGATACATGGGCATCAGGGTTCTCCAGTATTCCTCCACAATGAATTTCTCATCTGAATTCCCTGGCCGATATCTTAGCCTTTAATGTTCTGTCACATAATCTACCCTTTCTCACTGCTCAAATTGTAGCATTTAAGTGGTTGGTCACCCTCTATCTCCCCATTGCCTGTCCAGTATCTGTAAAGTACAAGTCATGAGTGTGATGGAGTACTCTCCACTTGCATGGGTAGGTGCATCACCAATAACACTCAAGACTCATTCGCTATCTCTACCACGGACACATAGTGATAGCACTGTGTACTATCTATAAGATACATTGCACTGCAGTAATTCACCAAGGTTCCAATGAACATACCTTTCAAATCAGGACCTCTACCACATAGTAGGACAAAGGTAGCAGTTGCATGGGAATACCACAAGCTGTAAGTTCCCGTCCAAGCCACACACAGTCCTAACATGGAACTATAGTGCCATTCCTTCACTGTTGCTGGATCAAAATCCTGAAACTAGCTTCTGAATAGTTAGGCTGGAGCACATGCGAGGCTTGCATGATGTTAGGCCATTTGTTGAGCCTAGAAGCAGCTAACAGCATGAGTTATAAGAGCAAATGAAATAGATGTAGGCCATTTGATCCTTTGGGCCTGGACTGCCATTCAATAATGAAGGGTAATCCCTTCAGCATCTGGTACAGATAGCCAGCCTTGTCCTAAGGTCAAATGATACTTTTTATCATCAGACTCTGTTTTTTAACCATTTAGCTGCTGCTTCTGTCCCTTTTTTTGCCCACACAATTTCAAACTGTTTTGGTTCTCAGAACTCTCTACAGCAGTAAGGACTTTCTATGCATCAGTTCTGATTCTAGTCAATTTGAAGTCTTGCTTGTAGACACCCTTATATTGCCGCTGCAGCTGACCTATTCATTTTGTGCCAATAGCATGCTCTCCATGAAGCAGGCCTTTTGGAATGTCACTATCATCCATTTGGATCACATGAAACAGCCAAAAAATGTTGTCACTAAACCAAAAGGGTAAATATGTTAGGGGTCCCTTCTCCCTAATCCTACCCCCGGACAGCCGTATTTGACTATCTCTCCTAGCAAGGATCACCAATATTCATCCTGTTGGTGGAGGAAGTTGTTCAGCCACTTTTCCTTAATTGCATAATTGTCTAAACTTCTAAGTATAGAAGGAAGATGCTGAGAACACAAGCCTTGTTCATGTGGAGCATTATACCGTTTGTTGGTTTGTGTTGGTCCACGCCTGCCCTTTGACCTTTGAAATGATAGCTGTGACTTGGTCATCCTAATGCTGATTTTGAGATCAACAAGTTCTTGACATCTGGTGTGGAAGTCAGCACCAGGACACGGATGCATATGAGGTTAATTGGGCCTATACCTGTTTCCAATCAAAAAGTAAGCAGTCTCTCTGAGTTTTCCGAGGGGAAGTCAATCTAGCAAGTAGTGTTTTTTTTAATTGCAAAACCCACTCCATGTTCTCGTGTTGCCACTTGGGCTTTTCCTTGCCAGATGATTCTGTTGTGTTTCTCTTTCTGAGATCCTTTTTGAGTAAGCCTAGTTTCTTGTAATGCATTGCACCTTGTAAAGTTTCTCATTAATCACATTGCAAAAGATTGTTGATAAAGTCCTTGTGTTCCAGCTTGCAATGTACTAATTGATGACTGTTTTGTTGAGTTTGTCTTGTCTGGTGCACAGACTATTGCTCGTCTGTTGAGAGACCACTCTCTAAGCTCAGCGCACTCATTGAAGCAAACAGGCTGGGTTTGCACAGCTCCTAACTGAATGGGGGCTACTCAGCTTCAGTGCATTCGTCTTTTTTAACTATTGGAAGTAAGCTTGATATTGTGTTCTAAAATAATCAAATAATATCATGTCATGCCAATATAAGCCATGAAGCCAGAGTGCCCTGTCCAGGTCATTGTATGGAGACTAGGCATCACAAGCTCCTTCCACACCCTCTTGGCATTGCTGGTATTGTAAAGGAAAGGATAAAATCAGTACTACTTGTTACCAGCTCTCATGCAGGAATTGTGGGAAAGCTGTCTGATAAATTATAGATAGTGCTAAGGCACTCCACTGAAGATTTTCTGTTGGAGTTTAATCATGTAGCTTTCTTTCCTGAGACATCACAAGGCAGTAAGGCTACTTACGCATGGCTGGGTGTCTGGAGCTTCAGCACATGAGCATAATGACATACTAGTGGGCCTGCATGTGATTCATCTGTGGTCCTGACCTCTGAGTTGTAGTAGGTTAGCCTGGGATTACGAGGTATCCAATCTACATGCATTGTCATAGGAAGGGGCTATGTAGGGCTTGATAATGGAGAGGCTATGCCCTGGCAAGGAAAGGCTAATACACTCATACTCCTTTTCATAATGTTTGTACTTTTAGGCAGCGGCAAATGCTGAAAGTAAGAGATGAAAAGCAAAATGCCTACTAAGCATCTCCCACTATGCTAACAGATTTGATATATCTCATTAACCAAGCGATATCTTACCATCCAACTGAATGGAAAATTGTATCATGTTATGATCACACATACCTAGAGGATCCTTTATTGTGAAATAATTAATTTATCCTGTCCCATTTCATTACAAGGCTGAATCATTTTAGTCATTACAGATTAAGTCTAAAATAACATGTTGACGTTGGGTCCAGAAAATATTGTTTCAAAAAACTGTCCTGAATACATCCTCTAAATTCATCCTCCAGGCTATCTTTGTCAATTTGATTAGTCTAAACATAAACAGGTATGTCATGATGAGATTAGTTCAGGTTTATGGTTAAAAAAACACACTCTCAAAAGCAGGGTGGCACTGTGATAGTGATAAATTGCTTGGTTATATAATGTATACTTTTTATTAATGATATTATGATCTATCTCTGAACAATATCTAAAAGAGTGCAGTTTCTCTATTATACACAAAGCTAAACCTACCTGCTGAAGCCAATAAGGAGGTCTTTAGATGTAAGTGTTGATACATCCCAGTTCATTCCACCAGACTCATACAACATTAAAACAAATGAAATGCTGCCATTTGTAGTTATAATTGCTTGGTAGGTGTTTGTCTACAATTAAGGTATTGAACATAATTGTTAGATATTTTTGAAATCAGAGTACAAAAAATGAAACTAATTATGATATTAATTTTGAACAGAGAATAGTTTTCATGGTAACACATTTATTGTGCTTAGATTATAATATAAAATTATCACATTTTAATGCAAATACAAAGTTCTTAATAACACATTTCAGGGGTTAATTTTAAATAACTAAATTATCCTTGGATGTAACCAAGCCTGATTTTGCTGCTTCCAATTTGAGAGTTAAAGAGTGTATGTGTCTTACATGGCAAATATGAAGCATTGAACCATTTAATCAGTTATCAGTTGAAATCAAAAAGCATCTCAAGTAATACACAGAGTAGATGAGATGAACAACATCGATGCATCTAAGGGTAGGCTAGATAAGTGCATGACAAGGAAGGAATAGAAGGATAGGGGTAGATAAATTAGGATGGCAATAAATACTTTAGGATGGAGCACAAACACCACCTAAAGAGCCTGTTTCTGTGCCACAAACTCTATTTTTTGTACTTGAAAAATAATGAACAATTCTAGAATAAGGTATTACGGAGTAAAGACATGAATACAACCCCTACAAGTCACAATACTGCCAGATAAAAATAAAGCACAACATTTAGGAAAAGAACTATACATAATACGGCAGATGTTGGAAAAGTCTTTACGCTTTTTTTTGAATGAAAACATGCTAAGCTTGTACATACATACCTTGCTTTTTGTTTCAAACAACGTAGCTGCAGGTACTTTATCCCAGGTTATCTTTAAGGTCCATTTGGCTTTATATTTAGATTTGAATTGGTCAGATATCATTCTTTCTACATTCTGTGTCAAGTTAAAAAATTCGGAACCATATGTTTTGTATTCCTATGAAATAAAAGCGCTGTGATTACGGAATGTATATTGCCTAATGTTAAATTATTACTACAGTAACATAGGGAATTACAGGATGATCATTGGCTAGCGTCAATAATGAGCAACTACTCCTGACATCATTAATTAAATCACTGGAGTCATGATGTAAATGGCCATCCCTCAAATGTGCACCCCTTTAAACCTTAAACTTTTCCATCCGGCCAATTAATTTTTAAGCTGTCACTTTTACCCACGTCTGGATAAAGTTGTTAAATTTAAACTATGTTTTAAGCTTGAGTTTGTGCCTTTTGGATTTAGGCATATCATCAGGTCCACTTTACTTGTTCCTTAAAAGATTTTGGAAAATTTAACATTGTTTCCATTGAGCCTCCTCTGCTCCAGAATAAACAATTCCACACTCTTCAATAATTTCTCGTTACCTAGGTGTCTCAAACTTGTAACAACTGCAGTCCAGGGGCCAAGGGGTTCGTGGGATTATTGGTGTAAATATAGTTTCATTGACCTGATTGAATAGGAAGAGCTTCAGATCTATCAGGCTGGCTTGAAGATAAATTAAGAATTTTTTTTTTTATATATATATCAATGATATGGAGGAGGTGCAAAATGTATTCTGGGTGGGAATTTCAATGTCCGCCATTAACAGTGGCTTGGCAGCAGTACTACTGATCGAGCTAGTTGGGTCCTAAAGGACCTAGCCACTAGACTAGGCCTGCAGCAGGTGGTGGGGGAACCAACAAGAGGTAAAAATAGACTTGACCCCATCCCTGCCAATCTGCAGACTTGAGATGCATCTGTTCATGACAATATCAGTAAGAGTGACCACCTCACAGTCCATGTGGAGATGAAGTCCCACCTACGCATTGAGAATACCCTACATCCTGTTGTGTTGCTCCACCACTGTGCTAAATGGGACAGACTTTGAACAGATTTAGCAACTCAAGACTGGTCATCCTTGTGGCTCTATGGGCCATCAACAGCAGCAGAGTTGTACTCCAGCACAATCTGTAACCTCATGGTCCAGCTTATCCCCCACTCAACAATTACCCTCAAACCATGGGATCAACCCTGGTTCAATGGAGAGTGCAGGAGGGCATGCCAGGAGCAGCACCAAGCACATCTAAAAATTAGGTGTCAACCTTGTGAAGCTACCAAACAGGATACTTGCATGCCAAACAGCATAAGTAGCAAGTGGTAGACACAGATAAGCTATCTCATAACCAAAGGATCAGAGCTAAGTTCTGCAGTCCTGCCATGTCCAGTCGTGAATGGTGGTGGACAATTAAACAATTCACTGGAGGACGGGGCTCCACAAAAACCCCATCCTCAATGATGGAAGAGTGCAGCATATCAATGTAAAGGATGTCTGAAGCTTTCACAGAAATGATTTGGAGGAAAATGTAGCTGGTCCAATTAGTAAGTTTGTGGATGATACAAAAAAAAGGTGGAGGTGCGGATAGTGAGGAGGATTGTCAGAGGATATAGTTGGATATAGATCAGTTGGAGGTATGGGTAGAAAAATGGCAGATATAGTTTAATCTTGACAAATGTGAGGTGATGCATTTTGGAAGGTCAAGTACAGGTGGAAATCATACAGTGAATGGCAAAAGCCTTAGCAGTATTAATATGTCAATATAAGTGGAGATAGATATAGGGGAGACGTCAGAGCTAGGTCCTTTACTCAGAGAGTGGTAGGGGCGTGGAATGCATTGCCGGAGAGGGTAGTGGAGTCGGCCTCATTAGGAGCATTTAAGCAGCTATTAGATAGGCATATGGATGATAGTATAAGGTAGGGGTGGAGGTTAGATAGACCTTAGGTTTAGGGTAAAAGTTCGGCACAACATCATGGGTTGAAGGGCCTGTACTGTGCTGTACCGTTCTATGTTCTATGTCGAGGGATCAGGTTGTGCAGGTCCACAAATCACTGAATGTGGCAGCACAGGTAGATAAGGTAGTGAAAAAGGCCTATGTTATGCTTGTCCTCATTGGAAGGGGCAGTAAGTATAAGGATGAACAAGTTAAACTGCAGCTTTATAGAACTTTAGTTAGGCCACACCTGGAATATTGAGTACATTTCTGGTCACCACGCTACCAGAATGATGTGGATGCTTTGGAGAAGGTACAGAAAAGATTTATCAGGATGTTGCCTGGAATGGGGGATTTTAGCTATGAAGAAAGGTCGAATAGACTGCGTTTGTTTTCACTGGAATGCAGGAGATTGAGTGGCGAGCTGATAGAAGTTTATAAGATTGTGAATGGTATGTATAGGAAGGAAGGGTCAATTACTAGGGGACACAGGTTCAAGGTGCGGTAGCGGGGTGGTGCGGGTTGTTTAAAAGAAATGTGTGGAGGCACGTTTTCCACACAAAGTGTGATGAGTACCTGGAAGGCGCTGCCAGAGGAGGTGATGGAAGCAGACACAAAAGCAGCATTCAAAAAACACCAGGAAGAATTCATGAGTAGGAAACGAATATAGGGATAAGGATCCTGTAAGTGAAGACAATTTTAGAATGGAAGGGCAAAACGTGTCGACACAGGCTTGGAGGGCCAAAGGGTCTGTTCCTGTGCTGTATAGTTCTCTGTTCTTTGTTATCTTTGTTCTCAGTCTTCAGCCAAAAGTGCAGAGTGGATGATCCATCTTGGCCTCCTCCAGAGGTCCCCAGCATCACAAATACCAATCTTTAGCCAATTTAATTCACTCCGTGCGATATCAAGAAGGAGGCACTGGATACTGCAAAGACTACGGGCCTTGATATCATTCCAACAACAATACTGAAGACTTGTGCTCCAGAACTTGTCACACCTCGAACCAAGCTGTTCTGTCTAAAAATGTGGAAAATTGCCAATATATGTTCTCGCCACAAAAAGCAGGACAAATCCATTCCAGCCAATTATTGCCTACCAGATTACTCTCAATCAGTAAAGCAGCACCTGCTCAGTGATGCCCAGCTTGGGTTCTGCCAGGGCCACTCAGCTCCTAACCTCAATACAGCCTTGGTTCAAACATGGACAGAGGAGCTGAATTGCAGAGGTGAGGTGAAAGGCATCAAGGCAGTATTTGACTGAGTGTGGCAACAAGGAAAAAATTGGCAAAACTGAAATGAATGAGGAATCAGGAGATAAACTCTCAGTTCGTCACAGTCATACTTAGGACATAGGAAGATGGTGAGATAACAAGGTATAGAGCTGGATGAACGCAGCAGACCAAGCAGCATCAGAGGAGCAGGAAAGCTGACGTTTCAGGCCTAGACACTTCTTCAGAAATTTCTGAAGAAGGGTCTAGGCCCGAAAAGTCAGCTTTCCTGCTCCTTTGATGCTGCTTGGCCTGCTGTGTTCAACCAGCTCTACACCTTGTTATCTCAGATCCTCCAGCATCTGCAGTTCCTACTATCATAGGAAGATGGTTGTGGTTTTATGGATATTGGGACATTTCTGTAGGAGCTATTTGGGGTAGTGTCCTCAACCCCACCATTTCAGCTGCTTGAATGACCTTCCCCACCCCATCAAAAGATCAGAATTGGGTTTCCTCTCCGATGATTGCACATTGTTCAGCACCATTTGTGACTCCTCAGATATTGAAGCAGTTCATGTTCAAATGCAACAAGATCTGGATAATATCTATGGCTTGGACTGACAAGTGGCAAGGAACGTTCACACTACACAAATGTCAGGCAATAACCATCTCCAGTAAAAGACAATCTAACTACCAGCCCTTGATATTCAATGAATTCAATCACTGAATCACCCACTATCAACATCTTGGGGTTACCGTTGACCAGAAACTCAACTGGACTCACCATATAAATACAGTGCCTGTAAGATTAGGTCAGAGATTAGGAATACTGTGGCAAGTAACTCATCTCCTGATTCCCCAATATCTACCATCTACGAGACACAGGTCAGGCGTGTGATGGAAAACTCCCTACTTGCCTGGCTGAGTGCAGCCGCAGCAACACTCAAGCAGTGAGACAGCATTCAGGACAAAGCAACTCGTTTGATTGGCACTGCATCCACAAGCATCCTCTCCCTCCACCATTGACACTCAGTAGCAGTAGTATGTACTATCTAAAAGATGCACTGCAGAAATTCACCAAAGATCCTCAGATAGCACCTTCCAAACCCATGACCACTTCCACTAGAAGGACAAGGGCAGCAGGTACATGGAAACACCACCATTTGCAAATTCCCCTCCAAAGCACTCATCATCCTGACTTGGAAATATACCACCATTCCTTCGATGTGGCTGGGTCAAAATCCTGGAATTCCCTCCCCATTGGCATTGTGGGTCTACCAACAGCACATGAACTGCAGTAGTTCAAGAAGACAGCTCACCAGCATCTTCTGAAGGGCAACTAGGGACGGGCAATAAATTATGGCCAGGCAATGCCCACATCCCATGAGTGAATTTAAAAAAATGAATACAACAGATGATCTACACAATTATGTTGTTGCTATTTACAAGACTTTATTGTTCTTATGATGGCAGCTGTAATTCATTACGTTACAACTATGACACTTCTGTTAAACCTAATCGACCATGCAGCATATTGTGAGATTGGGAAAGGCATTACGTTAATGGCAACTTCATTTTTTGAATTGTGCACAAACTCTGTAAAAATCACAACAAATCAGCTTCATATTTTCAATTATTTTGTGAATTCCTAATCTGGATGCATGAATGTTGTTTCACTGGAATAACTACTAGTACATTAAGATATTGGTTCAGTCTGATAAAGAAGTCACCCTACACTTTGCTGATACACTCACACCTAATTTTCAAGATTTTTGAGCAACTACATTGATTGAATTTAATTCCACTCCAGTTATTGTTCAATAAAAATTGTACCTGATAGAAAACATTTCCAATGCTGCCTGAGATGTCTGCATCACTCCAGAACACAGCAATCATTGGTGGTACAGAACTTGCAGTAAATTCGTTAAATGGATTGGTGTAATTGAAAATCTCTGTCGCTGATGCTGGAAAAACGATCAAACCATTGTCTGTGAACTGTCAATCAAAAAAAAGAATTGTGACATATAAAGTGGTTTAAACATACTATTTTTCCTCTGCAGTATCACTGAAATATAAACAATACCGGCAGAGACCTACAAAACATATGCAGCCTAATTTATAGACATAATCAATTATATTCATTCTACACATCACCTCCTTCCTGTGCAATCACTACCTCCCCATGCAATCCCATTCTGTACCATGCCATCGTCCTCCATGCCATGTTATTCCATTCTTTCTTTTTGATCCCCCCCTTGCTATTGTATTTCACTATCACCTGCCAATCCCCACCTATGCCAGTCACACTTCAACCAAATGTCCTGTCCTCCCATGTCATTTTACATCCTCCATTCTCTGAAATGCCATCTCACCCCGTGCTGACCACCAACCTCCAAGCACCACCATACCCCACACCTCGCAACACTACCCCACCCCCAACCTCATTTGGTGACGTTCAAATGAACAAAGAGAATCAGGCATGTAATGCAGGAGTATATATTGAGTTTTGAATATTGGCTGGCAATGTTTCCACTGTGAAGTAAATCCAGATTCAAGGTCACTTTAACACATGTAGCTCTGCTGCAGAGGGCAGAGAAGAAAGAACAGAAAAATAATGACAAGGGATTCAATAGTTAAAGGAAGAGACTGCAATTCTGCAGTCCCAGACATGTCTCCAGGATGACTTGCTGTATCTTGGTGCCACAGTCAAGGTTGTCTCTGTGTGACTGCATACCATTCTGAATGAAGAGGGTGAACAACTAGATTGTGTGGTCCACTTCAGGACAAAGATGGTTGGTAAAAAGGGGAGAGAGATCCTTCAGACCAAATTTTAGGCATCTTAAGAAAAAAATAAAAATCATAAACTCAAGACTGTTCTCTGGACTGTTTACTGGCACACGCTACTGAGAATAGAATGAGGTATATAGTGCAGATGAATGTGTTGCTGGAGACACAACACAAGAGGGAGGCTTTGGATTCCTGAGGCATTGGGTTCAGTTTTGGTGAAGGTATGACCTATTCAAAGGGACGGATTGCATCTCTACAGTGATATGATAAATATTGACAAAGACCGGTTCACTCCCCCAGTTAAGAATGTGGAAATCAATTTGGCAGAGGGATTTGCCATTGAGCACAGATTCAGAATGGAGAGAAACAAAGCTGAAAATAGAAGAAAAGAAAACTATAACTGAGTATGGAAGGCTGAGGAAACAAATGCAAGAAAATATGCAATAAGTTTTTTGAGATTACAGGGAAGCACTCTCATAAAATGAGTCTAGTGAATAAGACAGATTAAGCTAAAGGCACACATGGACACTTAAAGGGTAACATTTTGGCTATTGCTGGATCATGGCATAAAGACAGGTAAGAATGCCAAGTCAATATTTTTGGGCACTAGTTTTTCAGACAGGGCAGAGATTTAAAAAGGGAGGACTGTCACAATATGAGTTAAAAGAAGCATTCACAGCTATGAGGAGGTATATACACTTGAAGGATCATTAAAAGAAGCCATACACATTGCTCTAAGGAACAAAAAGGACTTCCACATTGTTGGAAGTATACAATAGAACTCACAATTTTCAAATGGATATAGAATATGAACATATTTGGAAATTGCTGAGAAGCCTAGCATCAATATGGTTATATTAGTAGAAGATTTCAACTATCTTGTTATTAATTGGGATGAAATCAGTATAAAATTATAGAAAGAACCAAGATTGTAAACTGCATTCGGGAGAACTTTTTTAGCCAATATGTCGCAAGACTGACAAGAGAAATGCACATTTTGGAAGTAATTTTGTGGATTGAGGCTGGGTTAGTTTGAAGGGATGTCAGTGGGAGAGATTTTCTCGTGGTTATGATCATAACTCTGATTTTGCATAGTCATGGAAAAGGACAAAGACCAGAAATAAAAATTCTCAATTGGGGAAAGGCCCATCTTACTAAGTCAAGATATAATTTAGCACAAGTTGAAACAATAGACTGGAAAAAAGTAACTGTACCTAAGTGAGTGCCAGACCAGAAGGAGGCACTCACACAGAACATAGGGAAAATACAGAATAAATACATTTCCATAAGGAAAAGAAAGAGTTATACTCTGAAAATTTGAGATGCCTGGATTTAACAGGGTGACGTAGCAAAAGGAAAAGAATGCTTCTGTGTTACTTGAAAGGTTAGTACTGCTGTAGCCAGTCCAGAGTAACATGCCAGAGTGTGTAGTATAAGGCCTTAAACAGGCATTAATTGCTCACAGATGGGGAGGTTGCCCGACTGCATCTCTATAACTGGTAGAACTGCGGTATTCAATCCATGATGAACTAAAGGTTCAGTGAAAGCCACTTTGAGTACTTACATAAATTAAAGGGTAACGAGCATTTCCAAAAGTGAAGTCAATCTCTGGCTTGAAAATGGGAGAGATGACATCAGATGCTGTTTTTGGTAGCGATTGATCACCAGCATCCTGCCCATATTCAAAAAGAATGGCTGCTGTACGAAAGCAAAAATATGTGAATTAAAATAAGAAACACTGTCACAAAAAAATGCTAGAAACTGGCTTTTTAAAATTCATCCCCAAGGTATGGGTAATGGTGACATTTATTGTCCATTTGTAATGCTCTGAAAAGATAGTGGTAGGATATCTTCTTGATTCACTGCACTTTTGATACAATTGTGTTGATCACAAAGCATCCATCAGATTGGTGTGGGATTTTAGAGAATATACAGCACACAATTATACAGAATAGAAAAGGATCATTTCTTCCATTGTGCCATGACTTGTCCTAATAGTATTACTTCTTTACAGCTATTCTCCTTTTTATGTGTACAGTATCAGCTATAATTCGGCTGTAAGCAAATCTTGCATGTGAGACATAAGTTTATGGACACAAGTCCACCCTTAGCACAAAAATCTAGACTTTCACTCCGATACAGAGTTGAAGGAGACTGATGGTGTAAATTCTCCATCTTTGTTTTTTATGTTTCCCCATGAACAGGAACATATTTGGTGCCATGACCCATGGCACTCCCAGCTCAGGGAATCAGGGACAAGCAGCTGGTGATTTTCTATCCACTAGATTGAAGGAATTATTTGTGATTTGCTACAACTGCAGGGTGTTGCAATCATGATTATTGAGAACTCAAGCATGGTTGTACTTGCTTCGCGATCTTCTTTTTAAACCATGAGGGTGGACATGGAACCAATTCCTAATATATGCTTCTGTACATGGAGTACTAAAGATGAAAAGTTATCACATAAAACAGTAACAGAATTGGTGGGCTGAATTTTCCATCCATTGGGCTCGATTTTATGTGGTGCCATGTTCTCTTTCCCAAGCTACAGTGTTGCATGTGCTTGGAGTCTTCCCTAATGGCTGGCAGCAACAATTTAATGCTGGGAGTGACATTAATTACTTTTAGGTGGGATTTTTGCTGCTTTCGTGGGAGAATGTGCTCCTGGCCAATCAGATCGAGACCAGCTCTGTAGTCCCAGCATCTATAATTGGGTGTGTTGGCCACTCTGGGACTAGAGGCAGTCCTCAATATTGAGAAACCCTGAAAAGTCTGAGGCCATGGGTCTTTGTAAAAGGCATTAGAACATAGACAGCTGAGTTTAGAAGCTTTACAGGGAGTGGTTTAAAATTGACATCCTCAGGGGTACATGTCAGATGGGCTTCAACAGTCAGCAAATGAGGTCTCCCTGCAGCCTGTGCATTTGCCAAAAAAATGACTTGTGCAGCTTGAAGCTGCTGAACTTCCCACATGGGTCTCAATAGGTTCAAGAGCACGTGGGCTGACCATGTCCCATTAAATTTCAGATAAGTGGCAGGAAGTCCACCTGCAGGATTTTATGTGCCCAACAACACTGCCTACCTCAGTTTTCAAATTTGTGGTCTGGACCAGATCAGTGTTCTGGAAGGTGACCAATAGCAGAGATCTCTGGGATTGCTGTCTAATCAGAGACTGCTGGCTGGTTTAGGCAGAGGGCAGGAAACTAGCTTCCACAGAAGCTGGACTGTCACTGAAGCTGAGGTGAAAACCTCAAACGAGTATGGAACAAAAAGGCTGCGAGAATCTCTGTACTCCAAGCACAGTCTGAAATCTATTGTAACAGCAAGATTTTGCCTGTGCATTCCCTCACACCTCCTCTGTGCACATTAAACAGTCAGCTTGCATCTTTTTCCATTGCTGCTCCAAACTCCCACTGTGAAAGCTGCCCTCCTCAGAATACCCGAGATCCTGACACAGCAGGAGCTTGTAACATTCAATTTTTGTTTTTTCATTAAAATGACAACCCTCTGTTCATATCCCAAATAGGTAATAGTCCACTGAGGAAAGTCTCAGATATTTTCTAATCAACCTGCTCAGAGATGTTATGATGCACCTCTGGAGCTGGTGGAGCCAGTCTTCAGTTCAGAGGTAGGGTCACTATCACTATACCATAAGGCCTGACACTCAAAAATTTCATTCCACTTGAGAATCAGTAGTTAATTGCCCTTTAACAAACGTAATTGCTTATTATGGATCACCTTCACTGCATAGATTAAAAGAATTCAACCAAATGCATTTTCTCCAATTTTCCTTATTCCCCTGCCTTCAAATCTGGTAGAGTTCCTCCTGTTTTCATATCAAACTAAATTCAGTTCAACGTAAGTAATGAAGTACTTACATGTAATATTGGCTTGAGTGGTTTGCACTGTTGATTTTACAGTTGTAGTTGTAGAGATGGTGCTTGTGGGCATTGTGGTAGTTGTAGTGCTTGATGTTTTTGAGGGCTTTGATGTGGTTGTTGGAGTTGTGGAAAATGTGGATGATATGGTTTTTGGTGTTTTAGTTGTGGTGGTTAAGGTAGTTGTTGGGCTC